GGACCCTGAGATCATGACCTGAGCCGAAGGCAGACGCTTAACGACTGAGCCACCCAGGCGCCCCTATCTCCATATTTCTTAATTTCATGCTTATACTGCTATTTTCAGTTTTCGATAGTACAGTCTGACATCTTTCTTCTTGCAGACACCGGTCCTAGCTTCAATCTGCACCTGGGCCTACTTACAGATTCAATTTAATTCATGAAGACAGACGATACATTGACCTAACTCTTCCTTCTAGGAATTAATACTTTTCTCCCCAGGAATCAGTGACTGCCATAATCTTGCTAAACATCCCCTGCAGCCCCTAAAAGTGTATGGATTTTGCCAACAGAGAGACGATCCTCTCCCTAACTCACGTCCCCGCTACTGCAAGACTGACTTTCTTACCCTTAAAGAAATACAGAAAGTGCATCTTCTGCAGGGGATGGTCTTAAAACCGCCGTGAGGGGTTTGTTTCCACCGAACTGTAGTGCACAGCGGAGCACTTAATTCGACTTTGAGGCCAGGCGGAGCCTGCCGCTGTAGGAAGAGGAGACAGCCATAAACCCGCAGACTTGACTGTAGGGTGAATTTCCCCGCAGAAAGGCCGTATCCGCAAATACCTGGAAGTGGAGGTGGAGATAGGGAGCTCCCCGATACGGCTCGCAGGACTGCGCGGGGGTCTAGGTCTGGATGGGAGCCCAGGGAGTCGTTCCCACAGCAACAGCCCTGGCGTAAGTCACGGCGCGTGCGCCGCTCCTTGCCCCGCCCCCCGCCCCGACGGCGAGGGGCGGGGCGGCGAGGGAGCCACTAGGGTTGTCGCCTCCCGCAACGCCGGAAGCTTCGGGGGATTAGAGCTGCGGGGAGCCGGGGAACGGCAGGACCGCAGGCGCACGTACTGTCTTCCGTCACGGTCACTAACTCCGTGGCAGCACGCTCTAGGAGCGGCATAAGGCGTGCGCAGTCTCCTCAGTCCGCATTTCGTCCCCGCGCGCTCCTCTGGGGGGCGCGTTCTCCAGCGTCCTGGCTCCCAGGGCCGTGGGCGTCCGAGCGGTGGCCTGGCTGCTCCTCTGGGAGGCGGCTGGACTCACCAGCACACCAGGCACGGCCTTCGCCGCCGCCCCCATCGACGCTGGTAAAGGGAGGGGCGGGGGGCGCCGGTGGGTCGGGGGCAGTCAGGACTTTTCCATCCTCCGAGCTTTGCAAGGTTTGGTACTTCTCCGGACCTCGGTGCGCGGACGTAGAACCTGCTGGGTGACCTGGAGGAGGTTAAAAGCAGAGGCCACGTGCTTCCCACCCTTCCCACCCCACAGGCACTGCTCAGAGGCTTCTCTTGGGTCTCTGGAGAGTCTGGCTTTGTCGTTCAGAGGTAGTACTGGCCGTACTATTACTAAAATATCGTGAATGAAGTACGGCGGTCAAGTGTCTTGGGATGCATGAAGCTTGGGACCCCCGAGGGGACCAGCAAGGCCACAGTGCCCTGTGGGGTGTGAGAATTCCAGTCCAGAATCTCTAGAGACACTGACGGGGTAATGGCGTGGGAAGGGGAGGACAACTAGTTTTGCTTTACAAACTTTTTGTAATAGACTGGATTGGGCTGGAGCTTCTCTTATGACTACGGGCTGGGCAAGCGAGTTGATTCATTTCTTGGGCCCGAGTTGGTGGGCCGCAGTGCTGTGGATCCAGCGCTGAGCTAAATACGGCCCCAACCCTTGTGGAGCTTGCAGAGTAGTGGGGAAGTGCCGTAGTAATTACAATAAGGAAAGTCAGTACAAATTAGGTAAGTTCCTCCATCTGTAAAGTGAGGATATTAGGCTAGTGTCAGTCACAGCTTTTGTGTCTTCACATATTAGGTTTCCAAATTTATTTGAAGTATTAATGAAGCCAAAATGAATTTTTAAACAACTGGACTTGGTGATCTCTAAAGACTCTTCCAGCCCTGGTATTTTATGATTAAAAAGAGGTCAATTTCCAGAGCCAGTTCAGGCCACAGTAATCAAAGTAATATTTAAGAGGAAAAATCTTGAAGGTCATTCAGATGCAACCAATTCTTTTTGAAAATGGTATTTTTGCTTTAAAAATCATAAACAATCTATTTGCTATACTGTTTGTAAATTACTTCCTACCATCCCAAGATGAATATGATTTACTATTCTGTAGTGTATATCCCAATAGAATTTAAGCCTATTAATCTGACCTTTTTTTCCTAGTTTAACTTATAGGTAGATATAAATCCTTACTCTCCACCCCTATTAAAATTAAACATAATGAAACATCTACATTTGTAAAAAAGATACTCAGTTATTTTTTGGAAATGATTATATATGCTTCTCTGAAGCAAATGATGATTTTTTAAAATAGGAAAGTGGAAATATCTTAGGCTTTAAAACTCTGGCAAATCTTGCTTCTAATCAGTAACTTACTTAGTGGTATGGCCTAGAACCAGTTAGAACTGTTTATTACAGAGTTTCCTCCTGTGTGCAAATGGCAGTAATTTTGCCTGCCTGTTTTGCTAGGTTGTGAAAGTTAAAACATGTGAAATCCCCAAGTAGAGGATTTGTCATATGGATATCATTTAATAAATATTATTTTTCCATACTTTTTTCCTTCCCTTGTATATTTCAGTGTTTTCATTTTCATATTTTTCATGCATCTTTTCAGGAATAAATCTAATAGACTTAGCAATACACAATAATATATGGTTTTCTTTGTGTTTGCTCTAATGTTCTTTCCATACACTTCCAGCTTTTGAAAATGGAGTAGAGTTCCATAGCAAGGTACCTGGCAGAGTTGATGGTCATCAGTAACTGAATTGTTTATTTATTTATTTATCCATTCATTCATTCATTCATTTATTTATTTTTATTTATTTATTTATTTTTATCTATTTATTTATTTTTAGTTAGAGAAAATCTTAGGCAGGCTCCACACCCAGCACAGAGCCTGAGATCATGACCTGATCTGAAATCAAGAGTCACACGTTTAACTGACTGAGCCACCCAGGTGCCCCTGAATTTTTAATTTTATGATGCTGACATCGAGTAATAGTTTTAATATCTGACTTCTGCATGGTGTCAGTACAGTGAGATTTGGGGTTATTCTACGTTTATAAAGGAACCCTTTGAATCTTTCACAAGCCTCAGGTTTTTGTTTCTGTTTTAAACTTTCCCAACAGCTCCACAAGGTATAAATGTACCATCTTCTCAGTTTTGTAAGCGTGGGTGGTAGAATACAGAAGTTGGCAGTACGTATCTGAAACACGGTTTCAGTGAACCAGGATTAAAACTTGAGTTTTCCTGGCTCTTTAGCCATTCTGTTCCTTTTGGTGTCCTGGGATCATCTGAATAAAATAGTATTAATGACAAACACATAGAGCTCTTACTATGTGGTAAGCCCTGTTCTGCATGCTTCTACATGTATTAAATTCTCATGACAAATAGTAGAGAGATAAACTATCTTGTCCAAAGTCACATAGCTTTAAGGGACAGACTCGGATTTGAAACTAGGCAATTTAACGCCAAAGTCAATGTTCTTAATGCCTATGCTTTATTAGAAGTAGCTTTTTAGATAGCTCAAATTGTTTAAGTTTTAAAAGCTTTTGTTTTGTTTATAGGTTGGTTAGATTTTCCAGGCAAGTAAAGCCTATTCAAACAATTTTCTAATTATTTAAGTATTCTTTCACTGAGTGCTTATTTTATTTTAAGAAATCTTCTGGTTCTTATAGGCATAAGGGCCACTTGTTCAGAAATTATTTTGAGGCAAGAAGTTTTGAAAGACGGTTTCCATAGGTAAGTTGCCCATTGACTTTTACTTATGTCAAAGTACTGTTTCGTATAATTTAGAGCAAAAAATCAATAGCTGGAAAATGGATAAACTGAAAATTGCTTGCTTTCTTACAAGTTATAAGTGACAGATTTATCATCTGTGGTTCACAGTTTGAAATAATGATCAAAATAACAGTAGAGGGGGGTGCCTGGGTGGCTCAGTAGGTTAAGTGTCTGGCTTTGGCTCAGGTCATGATCTCAGGGTCCTGGGATGGAGTCCTGTGTTGGGCTCCCTACTCAGCCGGGAGTCTGCTTCTCCCTCTGCTTGCCATTCTCCTTGCTTGCTCACGCACTCTCTCTGTCAAATAAATTATTAAAAATAAATACAGGGCGCCTGGGTGGCTCAGTTGGTTAAGTGACTGCCTTCGGCTCAGGTCATGATCCTGGAGTCCCGGGATCGAGTCCCATTTCGGGCTCCCTGCTCGGCAGGGAGTCTGCTTCTCCCTCTGACCCTCCCCCTCTCATGCTCTCTCTCTCTCTCATTCTCGCTCTCAAA